CAGCTTTATGTATAGTTACAAGGGACACTAGCCTATTAATCAAATATGAAGAACATTAGTTGGGGAAATATACAATCATTCTCCTTTATGTTGTTCAATATCTAATGAGTTTTCCATAGGAGCTCTAAATTCTGGAGCTTGTTAGTTTTCCTATCTGACCTTCTTCTTTCTCTTCAAGCCCCTGTTCTCCCAAACCCTATCCTTTTGGAATTTGAAGACTTCCAGTAGTGGAAAACATCACCTCTTGCATAATTTTTGGTTTTTTTCTTTTCCAGAAGTAGGTCAATCTTTTACACAAGTTTCTCAAGGGTAACCCAATTGCAGGGTAAAGAGAAAGAGAATAACATTAAACTTGCATAGCAAGCCTCAGATCCCCTTTACTCAGGAGGACTCTGCAGCTCTCGGGACCAGGAGCAGTATGTGAATGTTGTTAAAAACCTGCTGTATGTCCGTATGGCTCTTGGAAAGGAGCAAGGAGCAATATCCAGGGACTGGATTAGTACAGCAAGACTGGCTCATTTACTTAGTAATTGTGGCTGATCTTACTCATCAATGTGACAAGAGACAAGAGAAAGAAGCCACATAATGGGACTCTCCAAGTTGGGTGCTGTTAAGTCATTCACCATTATGGAGTTAGGACAGATCAACAGGGGCATAAAGATTTATTGCTTGAAAAAATAACAAGTGTCAGACGAAGTTGTTATTATCAACTTAATACAATTTCAGTGACACAAATGGGCATTTCCATCATAATTAGAAATCTCTTTTTGGAAAAAAGAAAAGTCAGAGACACCAAAGAAAACTAAATTACCAGTGTCTCTCCCTATATCTTTTCCCATGTATATAATAAAAATTATTTATTGCAATATTTCTCAATTAGGCTTGGAGGAAATAATAAAGAAGCATTTCCATTTACACTATTAGAAATCATATTCTTACAATAACATATGCTGATTTATCAATAACACATGATTGTGAGAATATTTTAAAATTTATTAATTTATTTTTTTTAAATCAGGTACTAGTTTTAGCACCTTTCTTATTATGCTAGTCCTGAATTTGTAGAGTATGATAATATTTTATAAAAAAAAAATCTTTTATTACCAAAATATGCTAGATGATGACCTTTCCTGATATTGTAATAATACCAATGCCTTAAAAATATGTATGAAATTTGAAAAAATAAATTTAAACCTGAAATGGAAATTCCTCACCTCATCTACCATTCACATAATTTCTGTTTTCAATCTGGGAGAAAAAATGAAGGATTGCCTGGGCCTGGAAGAAACGTCCAAAATGAAACAAAAAAAAAACATTTTAGAAACCGTCCAGTAGCAGCATTACATTACTGCCTCTCCCCATTCTTACAGTCCTGGATCAAGACTGTCTTGGTATGGAAGAAATTCTGGCTTCCCAAACAGCCTGTTTTTCTGGATTGTGGTATGGTTCCTTCCCTAGCTCTGAAATGTGTCTGTCACCAGTGACCTGATGCTGATGACATTTCCTGACCATATACGGTACCAAACCTGCCTCAAAAAGAAATTGGTATGGGCAACACCTGGGTGACTTAACCTGTCATTGCCTTTTGTCTCTGACAAGTACATCCTACCACCATCTCTGCAATTGCTGTATGGATATCTTTACTTCTGCAAGTGTTTTTCATCTGGAATGGCAGTGCTCCCTCCCTGGAGAGCAAGCAGGATCACATACTTCTGACCTGAACAGCTTCACAGCTTTGAACGATGTCCACTTAATCTAAGTAAAGGATCATGAAAACTTACGTGAGTAACAACCTTCAGTCAGTAGCCCAAGCAGAGGTCACATTTAAGACCAAAACCAAATGCATGCGTTGGTTGTCAAACAAACCCAACCATTATGAAAATGGTATTGGATGATGGTTTAAGATAAACACGGTTTAAGGTAAACATAATACAGCATAGAAATACAGTGTCTAAATGTTCTGTTATTTTTCCCAAAGATCCATGCTAAAGAGGCCTTCATATCCTTTGAGGATATAGCTGTGTATAGCTGTGGACCTGATGTTAGGTCTGGCTGGTAGTATGAGCTGATTCATAAGCCCTTGCTGTCTGTGAAAGCATGGGGCAGATGGGCAGGGGAGGAATGGTACCACATTTCCAGCCCAGCTTAACCTGCCTCCAAATGCTTATCGCTTTTCACATATATTCCAGAAGTTAAAAAAATGCTGATAGGTAAAGCCCTCTGAGAAGAAGGGGCTGATTCCCTTTGATTCCTTCGGGAGTACAGTTACACGTTTTTTCTGCCTGCCCCCAGGGATGCCTCCAGTTTTGTTTCTCTTTGTATCTATCTTCCACTTCTTTAAAAGTACAAATGAGAGAGGGGAATACTCACCTATCATGGAGATTTCCTCACCTCTCTTCTTGGCTCCTTTCCCGGTGTTTGACCACCCTCACAGTGAAAAAGTTTTTCCTAATAGCTCACTCCTACTCTGAATTTTACCTGTTGCAACTTGTTTCTGTTGCCTCTTGTCCTTTAGCTATGCGTCTTGGAGATGTGTCAGGCTCCATCTCTACCTTCTGATTAGGTGGTTGTAGACAGCGACAAGATTCACTGTGGATCTTTTCTTAAGATTGACCAAACCCAGCTGTCTCAGCCCCTCCCTAGATGTCCTGTGCTCCAGCCCAAAATCATCTTGGTGGCCACCACTGAGTTTGATCCAGTTTGTCACCACCTTTCTTGAACTGGCAAGCCTCAAACTGGACACAATACTCCAGACATGGAGAGAAATAACCACTTCCCTCAACCTGCTGGCCACACTCCTGTTAGCACTCAGTCCTCCCTGTAGGCGTTTCCCCTGCTCCCTCTGAACACCTTTCAGAACTGAGAAGAAAAGTGTGCTGTAAAGTAAACCATGTTTTCTTTCCTTACCAGTACCAGGATCAGAAACCAAGTTTAGGATCTTTCCAGGCTCTGAGTTGATATTGAAGCAGATGTTCCTTTGGCTCTTGGGCAGGTATATGATGAAATGTGGGTCATTGTCAACTGAAACAGAAAAGAAACAGGCGTGAGAAGCAGGCTGGTACCTGCCCTAGAGGTAAGGGACACAAGGACTGAGTCACTTTCTTCGGAGGATTTTGAAGCACTTTTTGGGACTCCTCAGAGTAGGATGAGGGCCCTTTCCACCCCTGCAGTAGCTAAGGAAGTTCTCAAATGCTTCTCACAAAAGCCCCTCAGACACTTTCTCCTCATATACTTCCCCTGTTTAAGGAAAGGACATGACATTATCGGCTTGAGGAGCGCCGTCAAGTGCAGTGAACTACTGGTTTAACTGGTCTGCTTTAACTTCTTAACTTAGCTGCGCACTAGGGTGCCATAGGCTCAACCCAGAGTTCTAGAAGCTGAGCTTTATTTCTTCATGATGGAAGCCAGCCTCCAGGTGAGACCAAGGACTCATCTGCACACCAGACAGACAGGGACACATCTTTGAGGCCTAGATCCAGGAAAGGACCTAAGGCATGGAAAACAGGACTTGGGTGACACCTCTGTTCAAAACTAATATCCAACACTCCCATGCCCAGCTGTTGCCTATTTCTAGAAGTGACACACTCCCAGGGTATCATTCTCAAACTAAGAAGCTCTCAGACACGTTACAACTCCATACCACCATACTGATATTGGGTAAAGATACATCCTGCCTACCAACTCCCCTGAGGAATACAATCCAGGACTTGTTCTCACAGTATGTTTAACACCCTGGTGGGACTGACCCCCTCTGAAAGTCACATGTTCTTTAAAATTTGCCTCAAACGAGACAAACACCTGCACCTATCACTGAAGGCAGCTGCCTCCAGTCTCGTCTTGAAGTGCAAAGCGCTGCCCAGCTCTTGCTGGTTTGGTGGTGGTTGGCATTTCCCTGTCAACATTCAGAGACATCCTGGTGCTCAGTGTTGCCTGTGGGGATAGCCAGGCCAGCTTCCATTCATTCACTGGCGTTCCTCATCTTCCGGAAGCATTTAACTCTTCCTGTGCACTAGACAAATCCTAGACCCTTGACCAGGAATGTCTTCACAGGAAACGGTAGGGTAGGCACCCTCCAAGGGGTGAAGGAGCTTTTGAATGTCTTGACTGTTTTGAATATAATGAGTCTCTTGAATATAGCCCTCAATCATTTTTCCTTATTCTCACCAACTGCTTGATCTTCCTCAACTTGATGCCAAGGCCTGTTCCGATCAGCATTTCCAGGAACAAAAAGAATTTCCAGTGCAAAAGACATGTATAAGATGGACAGGTAACTTTGCCTGGCTCACCTTCCTTTCCCAGCATTTTCTTGACTAACCAAAGGCTTAGATTAACCCTTGAGCTATGCTGAGAAGGAGTTTGACAGCTCTTTGTTTGATAGCTACGTAAATACACGCATCCGCACGCAGGCACGCTCCCAGAGTTATGGTAGTTATACTGCTTTTATAGGCAACGGTTCTCACAGCTGGGTTGTTTAAGTAGGCACTAAGCTGTGGCAAAGGCCCAAGCTTTAACAGGATCCATCAGTGATCAGTGCATTCAGAGATTTTTATCTACCACAGAACATTCATCTGTCATTTACGATGGCAGTAACTTTACATTAGCTTTGCTACTGCAGAGAAGCTGAATGTAAGCTCAGTGAGCAGCCCCAGCCTCAGGGAAGCATGCAGCAGAAGATGGGGTCGCTGGGATCCTATTAGGATCTAAAGGAGTCTCATGCTTGTAATGTAGAGCATATTTGTACAGGTTCATCTATTCAAAGTCAAAACGACTCAGTATTTTATAAAGAAAAGCTTGATCCTTAGGTGCTAGATGGATTTGCACAAAATTGACTGAGGTGGCTGTGATTTGGGATGCACATGACTGCACCCTGCTCAGACCTTCAGCAGAGGCTGTATCGAGGACCTTTCACACTGATGTCCTCTGCAACAGCAGTGAAGTGGCTTCATCGGCTAGTCACAGCAGCTGATTTATTCTCTTGTGGACTAGCCCCTAAATGAAGATACAGTTTTTACAACAATTCAGAAAACTCAGCAAGAAAAATTAGGACAACTGATAGACTCCTCCATCATTATTGGGCTTAGCATCTTGTCACAGAAGCTGAAATTCCCAAAGCGCCCAATAACTTTGGTTATATCACCTTTATTTGTTTATTAGGTGGTGAGTGTTGCTGTTTGGTGTTTCTTTGCAGAGAAATGCTGTAACTTTTACCTCTGTTTATGCTCAGAGAGGACACAGGAGGACTCCTTTGCTCAGGCATGAAGCTGACTGGTACAGCTGTGACGTTGGCCCAGGCTGGGATACCTTTGTTATTATTAGGTGCATTTGGAGTTAATCCTAGAGTACCTGTTAAATGACAGTCATAATTAGGTTTTTGTTAGTGCTGACATATTTAATAGTGCAATTTTTAAAGTAATGCAGTAGATCAGAGCCTGATGTCGTTATACCAATGTAAAGCAGGTGCAACACCATTTACAACAGACAGCTTTGTATAGTGAAGTTAGGATGGATTTACTCCAGTGTCTCCATCAGAGGAATATGACTTACCAGGGCACTTGAGCTAATCATAAGCTACTGGTGAAAAATGGAGCCTGACTTTTTAACTCTTATTCATGTGAATAGGCCCCACTTTAGCAAAGCCCCCAATGCGAGGGCGTAAGTGTTTTGCCAGATAAAAAGCTGCATTTTTAAAGTTTAGCATGCTGACTTGGGTCCTGAGTTTGGGGTGCCTGAGAAAAGGTAGGACTCTTTCTGCATGCCCTGGGGTGACCCACATACATAAAGGTTGCAAATAAGTGCAAGCATTTAAAATACCGTCCCCTAATGTGTCCCCTTCTGCTGGAGGTCTCTGCCTTTGCCATGACAGAGGCAGGAGAAAGTAACATGTGCCCTCTCTCTCCCACTTAGTTCATAAAGCAATATGATCTTAAATGATGCGTGAGACTTGGTTTGTTTTAATATGTTGGGCAGAGAACAGCAAAAGCTGAAGCAGGGCACGTGTTCCCATCTGCTGGCCCTGCTCTGAAGGGCAGTAAGGGGAAAAAGGAGCTGGGGGACAACAGCAGGACAGAAGATTGCACAGCTAGATCTTCTAAATCTCTGTCAGCATCTTCCTTCTTGAACCCCTACCTCAGACCATAGGCTGTTTTTACTCAGGCAGAGTTATTTCTATTAGCACAGTTATATGTGAAGTCGGTGCAGATAATACAGGAACTAAAAACTGGACAGAGACTTTGGAGTTTCCAGGACATATTAATTTCACAGACTATTATGCCTGAAGAAGCTCTCCCATGCGCAGTCCAGTTTTGCAATAAGTCTGTCATGATAAAAGAGCAATTAGACAATCCTTTGAAAAGTGAGTGAAAGATACAGTCTCTGTGAAGAGGCAGTGCAGCTCTGATGGGAGTTGTGAAAGGACAGACAGACAGAAAAGTCTATTTCAGATTACCCATTCCATGCCTTGTATGTACAAACTTTTTGGTACAGGCCACGTGTTGCACAATCCTAAGCACAGATTTACTTTGATATTATTTTTACAAGCTCTGCCCTCTGCTAAGGTTCAAGACTCATGTCCCACTGTCCCTGAAATCCACAGATGCCTTGACGCTGATTTCAGTGCTGTTAAGTTTTGACTATTCCATCAAACACGAAGACACAAGAACCTACATTAAAATCACTTAAATTCTCTGCATCATCTAAATCAAGGTAATTATGGTCTGAACTAGTCAGCTGGTACCATGTATAATGAATTCATTATGCATGAATGCAATACATGCTATTTCTGTGCTGAACTGTTTGGTGGTTGTGAGTTCATTACAGGATCACAGAATATCTCGAGTTGGAAGGGACCCATAAGGATCATCAAGTCTAACTCCCTGCTCCTTGCAGGACAACCTAAAACTAAACCATATGACTAGAGTGTTCTCCAGATGCTCCGTGAACTTGAGTTGTAGTATGCAGTATCCATAACAACTATTTAATTTCTCTTTGGGTCTCAGCTGCAGACTTTAAAATTGAAAAGAAGAATAAGTGAACCAAAAAATAACAATTGACAGACATAAAATCCCCATTTCATTGAGCCAGCAACAGGCCATTTTTATAGTTATCCGGGAGCATGAGCACTGAGCATGCAGGACACGCGCTTGGAGTTTCAGCAAAGTCATAATCACTTCCAGTGCGAAATGCCAGATGGATGATGTCTGTTGCTATAATGTAGGTTCTTTCTTTCCTTCACAACCATTGCAAACTCTCCCATTTATTAACAGGTTTTAAATCAGCAGACTCAGTTGGTTGAGGAGTTGATCTTTTACTTTCAGTGCTTCCATTGCATCGCACTGGCAGTGTTATCCTGACAGCAACAGTTGTGCTTTTTCAAATCACTGACTGGTGAGGGCGCAAAATAGCTGCTGTTAAGTTTCATTGGAAGCACGTGGCTGTGCAGGGATGACTTTGGATCTGCTAGACACCCACGGATGTCAACAGCTATTGCTTTGAGACTGACTCTACCATATATTGCCAGAACAAGCCAACCCCACCTCATTTGACTGGACATAAGGTTGCTGTAATGGGGACCTTGGAACATGTATTGAAGTCATGGATTTAAAGGAGAAATCCAGAAGTTTAATTAATAAGGAACTCTGTTGTTAAGACAAGTCAGATTCCATGTAGGCTTGTGGCTGATTGATAACAATCTTAGGAGGCTTCCAAGGCTTAAAAGTGGAGATAAGATACGGTTTAGTCAATTCTACAGCTTCAATGTGGGGAACTAGGCATATCTGTCCCAGTAAGAAGACGTTCAATCTGTGGCATTGTAGGCTTATTGGAAAACTCATCATTGCAAGGTTGGCACATTCAGTCCTCACTGAAGCCAATGGCTCCAAACGGCACTTGTGTAACAGGAAGCTCTCAAAGCGACTGAAGGTTTGGTCAGCTTTCACTGAAAATACAGGCTATCCTATAAGCACAAACACCCGGAGTGAACAATGAACACAGTTGTTCTTCCAACACAAGAAGAACAAAGCCAAAATGAGAGGTAGAGTAAGACAGACTGAGACACTGACCTGGGCAGCAGCCCCTTCTGGGGTCTTTGGGTTGGTCTGCCAGCATTATCTCATCCTTTTCGGCATTCTCTATCAGCATGGCTGTGAAGGGGGTAACAATATGATGGTCAAGAGACATCTGTAGGATGGTCTTGGTGATGTTCCTCTTCAAAGCTGCTGTGGGGGCTGTGTTTCTGGGTGGAAAACAAAACAGAAGGCATGGTTAGCAGTTCTACAGGGCAGCTGCCATGACAATGCCTCCACAGAGCAGTCATAGAGACAAACTGGTAGGCGTTGCAAGAAGGAAAGGCTGAGGGCCTGCGTGAATGCACTCTGCATAAGACTATTCTTGGCTTCTGTGGGCTTTGGCCTGGACTCAAAGAAGCCCAGTCCTTCTCCCGGTCAGGCTCTATAAGGCAAATCTCCCATTCATTTCATTCACTCAGGCCCACAGCCAGGTCTGTTTGACACTTACTCCTCTAATTAACTGCTTCCAAACTCTATTCCCTGATATCTGTGAGTGCTAAAAATAGGAGGTATGTGGCTGCAGATATCACCTACCTTTATTTTGATTTGTTTACCTTACCCATTTGAAACCCTGTGAGCAGCCTCATGGCTGTGGTTTCAGAGAGGACCAGATTGCTCTCAAGCTCCACTTCCCACCCATCACAGACCACATTTCTCCTCACCTCTCTGCCAGCATCTGGTTGACAGTCAGATAGGCCCACAGCTTCTTAGTGAATTCGGGATCTGCGTATTTGTCTTTCTTCATGAAGCCATCCAGTTCTTCAACATCTCGCAGGGTTTCCATGACAAGCTCTGCATTTGCCTATGCAATCAATGACAGATAAAGATAATGGAGGGTGAGCCAGGAGAATGCAGTGACTTTGAGTTCCCCTCTTGGCATGGCTGGCATTAAGGACCCGCTCTGGCTCTGCCCATGGTCACTGCTAGATCAGAAAGTCCCATCACTGTTGGCCTGACTGCCATGAGGAGGGGAGCTGTAGCAAGAGGGTCTTCTGTTAAAGACACTTTTAGTGACAGTGGAGTAAAACAGGTAAAGGAGCTGTCAGCAGTAGCCAAAGAGGGTGCTACCACAGGACAAGAAAAAGAGGCTTTTTCACATCCAATTCCTACTGAGGAACAGGAACAAAACTCTGGTTTCTCCCACAGACCCTTGGACTGCACTGTGTTTTGGCAGGAAAGAATATTGAACGTGTTTGATTTTTCCAGCAGATAACAAATGGCAACTCCTAAGCCCTGAAAGGGTACAGATATTTCAGTTCCTCTTCAGAAAGAAGGATCTGGATGTAGTATTCCCACCCCAGCCCACTCTACCTGGAAGAGCAGCCCTGAAACATGGGGAAAGTCTCATCACACATGCCACAAAGCAGGGCATAAAAGGACAGTGCTAGGACTTGACACACTGTAGACCCACCAGCCTGAACTCTCCAACAGTGGGAGGTTCAGCCATGAAAGGAGCTACCTTAGGGGATCACCACTGCACCTTTGCAAAGCATGAAGGAGGACTCCATAGTCTTAGTCTGGTTTGTAATTGAATTTTGTATGGTACATTTATTAGAAGGAAGTTCCTCTGGGAGGCTGCAGGATGCAGGTAGTGACTATTTGTGGCTGTACTTGAAGCTATTGTGAAACATCGTTGGACAAACCCCCCATGAGTTTCCCCACACTCCCACCCAGAACCCAAGTGGACAAAACACTCTGCTGGCAATAACCTCTAGCAAGGAGACTGTGCACACGAGCGAAGGAACCAGCCCGAACCCCAGGAGCAGGTATCCTAGGGACACCTTCACTCACTGCTGTCGCTGTGACGATGCTTTCCAAGTGCTGCAGGTTTTCCGTGTCGACCTTCCCAGCCACTACTATCTCCGAGCCACCAAAATAGTTGTGGAAGCTGCTCTGAGTGACGTCTGACACTGACTCCTGGGGGTAGTTGAACTGAATCTTCTTCAAGAGCGGAGTGGAGACCTGGTTGTAGAAGTTCTGAGATGGAAGGAGACAGAGAAGTGAGCCTGTTGTACCTGAAGCAACCCTCCCACATGCGCCACTCTTACTGAAAGGACAGCAGGTGACAAAACCTGGAGCCCCAATGGGCAAGTGGCACTTTCCTTGTCCCAGAGAATGCAGACACCTTTATACTTAGACCTTAGTACACTTGTAAGAGGGTACAGCAAGAAGGTCTGGCCCAAGTCTTGTGGAAGTCAAAGGATGGTCAGAAGCCCATGGGCTGTGTTCTTCCTAGACCTAAAAGGCTTGAACACAGGTGTACATGAGCCTGAATCTATTATCAGGTTGGTCAGCTCTTGGCCACTGTGTTAGACACACAGCTGCGTCCCACCTAATTCTTGCCAAAAACTAGACCAATATCTCACTTGTATTCGCTTCTGTGCCGTAGACTGTCTACCCTTTTCTGACCCTATTGTACCTGGCTGATGTGAACTGGGATGTGTGCACGGCTGTGTTTAGCATATGGGACCAGAGAGGGAAAACAGGTGCCCACACAGTGCTATGGGTGGAGGCCGTCTCATACCGAGGGGCTGCACCCTCAGAGCTGCTCTGTTTGGCAGAACGCCATGTAGTGTGTCCTGGCACACCTGTGTGTGTCCTGGCACACCTGTGTTGGGACAGAAGCAGCATGAGAAGCCTGCATAGGTGCTGAAACCAGTGAATAGAAACAGAATAAGGATGTAAGATTTTGTTCATCAGCAACTGCTGCTCGCAGATTTGGAGCCATAGCTTCCTAGAACTGAACTTTTTCTTACACTGGCAAACTTTGGATTAGCATTTAGCATTTATATCTAGGCCTTTTGTTAGTGCTGAAGTGGTCTGAGGTAAAATCCAGGCCTTAATTTTAATTCAGAAAATCTTTTTTATGGTTAGAACTGTTTTATAGAATATAAATCCTACACAAAGCAGTAAAGTATGTATTATAGATACCACAAAAACTGTAACTAGGAGCACTTAAGCTGATGCATGATGGTCATCTTGCAGGAGTTTCCAGAAGAAACAATGCTTTTTGTGACTTCCCCTATGAACCCACAGTAACTCTACTTTTGCTAGTGGAGTTACCCAGCTCCGCAGCTGCGGACAGAACTGGGCCCTCAGTTTCAGAGGCAATGGGCCAGAAACGCACCTTCATTTGGGCAGAAGTCTCCTGATTTCCAAAGATCCTCTGGGCCATGCCACGGTTGTCGGTTGCGATTCTCTGCAGGAAATCGTAATCTACATCAAACCCAATCCCGAGGCAGAAAAGAGAGAATTCGTCCTTGATGCTCTGCTTCATGTTCTTCTGGATCGTCGTCAGCTTTAGCTCACCTTGGAGACACACAAAGGGTGACATCCATCTGAGCAACGCAGGAAGTCTCCAGCAAGGTAAGTGCATTCATGCTCTTCCCGAGTCTCTGGCTCTCTCTTAATATAAGGGAAATCTAGACAACTAGCTCAGATGCCAAATCTCCATTTTCAGTGCCTACAGTGACATTTGAGCTTCTCCTGGATGGAGATTAACAAATTGTTTCCACTGAAGACAAGTCCTTTGAACTCTTTTTTTGGTACCTGATGCATATTCTTTGCATATTCAATGCTCTCATTAACTTCCTGGGGAGTTTGTAACACATTTAGACTTCTCCCAGAATTACTTCTTCAAGCTCTTTGCAGACTAAGACATCTCCACAAAGGTTTTACTTTGTTTATTGTACTTAAGATGTTCTTTGCCACCATTGGGACTGACTTTTTTTTCAGACTTATTTTTAATGGCAGCCTCTTCCGGGCTGGCATCTTACAGTAAGTGATTGCTTTTGACCTGTACCAAATCCAACCCAAATTAATTTGCTTTCTACTTTATTTTCCTGATTTTGGTGTTACACTTGGGACTGCATAGATCTGTGTGGGCTAAGGTCATTGGAAGAAGAAATTTTTTCTAAGGTTGTTGTGATTACCTCTCCTACAGGACTTGTGCATCTCTGTAATTGCAAGAAGTACATAACTTGCATAACATAATCTGCTCATTTTTTGAAAGCTTCTGTGCAAAGCCCCATGGTACCTATAGCACTTGGCAAAACAGCAGCACAGGCATTGGAAGAAAGGGGAACAGAATTTTTTTAACTTACTGTCAAAGTGTCTACGTGTTGCATGCTTTTCTCAGGCTAATCCCACCGGCCTTTCTTCTCACCTAAACTAGGATCCTTACCTACTGTCGGGTCTCCATCAGACACCAATACGATCATGGAGACTGAGTTAGGGTCCAACATGCCTAAGTTTTGGGCTTCGTTCAGGATGAATGTGGCTCGGAGAAGAGCTTCATTGATATTTGTGCCTGTCAAAGACACAATGAAGAAAACAAGTTTGATTCTTGTCGAGTCTCTTGTTGAATCCTGATCAGTTCTGAAGATTCTAGTGGAATTAATCAGCATGGACAAGACCCAGGATCAAGGCAGTGAAACACCTCCTCTGTGATGCTTACGGTAGCACTCTGGTTCCCTAAAGAAATAGAAGGTGAAATGTGTTGTATTTGGGTCATTGTGTTAAATAGACCTCTATTTTTCTCTTTTTTACTGAAATCAACAGAATCAGTAAAGATCGACATCTCTGTAAGTGGAAATAGCCTGCAATCCATCTGCTCCTGAATTTGTTCACCAGCATGTTACTTTTTTCGTACCGTGATGTTGAAATATATGAATACATATTTATATGAATTTATACACATTTGTATACACACACATATGTGTTTTGCACTAAGTTCCATTAAGAGACCAGATGCTGATACCCTTTTTCATCCCAAGCTGTCACCTCCACCTGCCCCCCTCCATCCCCCCTCACTAATTCCAGTGGGACCATTTGTGGTGTTGGGAATTATTTGCTGTGGGGAGAAGTAGTGGGTTTGCAGGAAGATGATTGAATGAGAGAAGGAGAAACTTTCTTTTCTGGCAGCAGCCAGAAACAGCTAGCCTTGGATATCTTGATTGGAAAAGAAGAGGTGCATGTTTACTGACCCTACCTAAAGGTTTGGCATGTGGCACAGAAGGGACTGAGTAAGGAATTAGTATGAGGGGAACAGGAGTAGGAAGGCTGAGCAGTCAGAAAACAGGTATTTTGTTTGTCAAGAAAGAAAAAACATTAGTGGCTCTAGAGACAGGATAATAAAATGCTGCATTGCAAACTGGCTTTGCTGGATGGGAGCAGGTCTCAGCTTGTCTGTCAGTTCTTTTGGGGTACAAAGTCAGGCTTGGGAGGCACTCATATACCCAACATGGGTTCCTATTCCCAGCACACTGATGATCTCAGATAAGTCTATAACTTCATGTTGATCCTACCTTATGTGTTGCCAGTGAAAGTTTCTGGGAATGAAGGTGCCACAGCACCGGCAGGCTCTGATTTTAGGGAGAGCCTCTACACACTATTGGTGTACCAATAACTGGATAACTAAACCAGAATTGCACTTCAGAGAGCGATAGATTAAAATGATCATGAGCCCTTTCTGTACAAGTAGCTCGAGCACTAACAAATGAAGCATCCGAAGTGCTGTAAAGCTGACAAAGGCAACAGTCCTTGTTTATCAGACAGGGAATGAAGGCACAAAAATGATGAAAAGTTTGTCCCGGCTGGCATTTAGGAGGTCATGGTGTAGTCTACAATTTACCGCCAGTGGAGACCCTGGAGTTGGTCTGCTTATGATCTGCTTTACAAAGGCATGAGGCGGCCTTGGTCTTTCAAGGATATTTGGCATCTGTGAGGCTGGAGGTAGGACCTATAGATTAAAGGCAGCTGTTCTATGGTCTATGTTCTATCTGTCGTAGCTTATTCTGTAGAAGGAAATGCCATCCCATCCCCTAACACAATAAACTGGAATCCCTGCTCTCCTTTACCCCCAGGGCATGCTTCTCCCATCTTGGGAATCAGACTTTTTGCTAGGAATACTCTGCCAATCTGAAGGTTGTCTGGGGTACCCGTTCCTGTGATACCTAACTTCCATGAGCACCTTGCAATCAAAACCTCATACCCCCATTGGGATGGATTGTCTGGATGTACTTCTTAGCATCTTCAACCTGCGCTGGGGTGGCTGAGACTAGATTATCTCTCCAGCATCGGACATTGTGGTTGAAGTCGATAAGGGAGAACTGATCAGCAGCACGGAGCTCGCTCAATATTGCCTTCATGGCCTCGATGGTCTGAGAAGAAGAAATTTAAAAGAAGACGAGTTTATGCTTCCTGTTGCTGAAAGCACCTTCTTAACTTGTGACTACAAGCAAACAGATGCCTCTGATGAATAAGAACATGAGCACTGGAATCCAAAATAGCATCTGCTATCCAAATCTCTCCTTTTTTGCACTTCTTGCATAAAGTTGAACTTTTCTCCAAAGAAACACAGAAAAAATGCAATTAGCAAGAACAAACCCCTGTGACTCAACCCATCCTTGCTTAACTCCTGCTAACACAGGGTGAGGTGAGAGAGAGAAGCAGTTTGTGAGACATTGTGGTTCAGGAGAGAGGAATTGCTCGTATCAGCTCAGGAGACTTGGCTCCGTCTGCAGTGCTGCCATTTCAGGTTGGGTAACATCTGTTTGAAGATGTGTGATTTAAACAAGTGACAATTAGCCCGTATCCCAGTTTCGCAGCATTGATTTCCCCAAGGAAGCAATCTACCAAACATTAGTATTGTGCTCCGAAGCAAATCCAAATATACCTACATCATCCCTGACTACTGTTTCTCTAGCCAGTTCTTAAAAACCTTCGTGACACATGATATATAATCTCCTGAACTCCCTCCCAGCACTATAAAGTTTTTCCTAATATCCAATATAAATCTCTCCTGCTGTAAATCCATCTGATTCCATCTTATTCTACCCTGGGTGGGCATGAATGCCAGTTGATGAGTTTCCCTTTTAGAACAACTGTTCGCATATTTGGAGGCTGATTATATGTCTCCAAGTCTTTTCTTTTACAAGCTAAAACATCCTATTGTTTGCATTTCCTCCCCCCATGGGTTATGTTGTCTAAACAATTCTTACTGCTCTTCAGTGGGCTGTCAACAATTCGTCCACAACTTTTTGAAAGCAGGGATGTAGTATCCCCACTGAGACTTTCTCAGGATTCAGTAAAGGAGATTACAGAACGAGGGGGTCAGAGCCTTTGAAAAATGTTTTGTGATCTGTCAATTAAAATTTTAATTTAGTATTCTGATGGCATCACCTCTTCCTTACAACATGGAAGGAGCATTGCAAATAAAGAGTAAAATCATGAAGATTTTGATTCACCAAATATTCTCTGAATTCAGTGAGACTTTCGACGGAGTAAAGTGTAAAGAACTTAGCTGGTAATTTTGAGTGACAGTCTGCTACAGAATTGTGTGGTGAGGCACATGGGAAAAGTTGGCAGGAGGTTCATTTTGCAATAGAGGTCAAACACTTACTTGCTTCATTTTCAGTCCCCACATCGAGCCACTGACATCTATAACAAATAAAATGTTTTTGGGCAGAGGATCAAGATTTTCCGGAGCAAAGAAGTGAATAAAATAGCCATTAAAAATCTGCAAAATAAAATAAAAAAATTCCCAGTGAAGCCAGCTATAGTAGAGATGTCAGAAAAGACAAGACAGTAACAGAGCAGAAAAGGTTATTCTTCTTTATGGGCCAAATCTAACTTTCAGCTCTGCACCTCTCTGTATTTGTAGCCTTACACCACTTATACTCTGTAGTCTTTACTTTTTATCAAGGAAAGCAGAGCCTGGTTCTCAGACAACTGCCATGCACTAGCATAGGGAAGAATGAAAAACGTTTTAAAAAAGACTGTTCTGTCCGTAATAATTCAACCTCATAACTCTGCTTCATGTTAACATAAAAATAGTGATGTTCTGGTTGTCTCCTTGTGATATATTGGTACAACTTCCAATGACGCTGTCCTCTGATTCAGCATTAAATCACCAGAGTGCTGCTAGGTATAAAAGACATCATTGGCTTGCGAACAAGACAGGAATCTGCTCCTGACTATATGTAGGACCATGTCTTAGTCATAAATTAAGTAAATCCATTCTGCCCACTTAAAATCTCTCTGTTCTTTCAATTGGATACAGAGCTTTTTCTCATGCTTATTCTCCTGAACGATGAAGTTTAGCACAGTTTGCTTAAGGATAGCAATTCTTGAATTCACACATCTCCTGTCCTGGTAAACCAGCAACACTTACTTCCAATTCTCCACCTGTGGTTTCTCTGTTCACATCATATTGCACCACAAAATTTCCATCTACTGCTGTGGATGAGCACGTGGGGCATTTTCGTTGCTGAGCCATCGTTGGCTTGAAAGAAATATGAGCCTTGAAATGAGAAGTGATCATCAGTGAGTCAGATGTTGTGTGAAAGGTGGATCATTGAAACAAAAAGAGTTCATCTATTCATCTTACTTCTCCAAATGCTTTTCTTCTTTCTTTATTTGTACTCTTAGTTCAAGCCAAAAATGGACTTTGTCACTTCAAAAGAAAAACAGCACTAAGGTTTGCCTGGATATGCTGATTCAGTAGTAGCAACCGTGACACAAATAAGATGACCCATCTACAGCACCAAATAGTTCAATTAGAGCTGTGCAAACCATTTCGAGTAAGTAGCATGTTGGCTTATTTAACATTTTCCTATTTGAAACTATCCATAATTTTATCAACATTTTTAATGGCTTTTTAATTGATTTTTTCCCATACAAATGAGAGATTGTAATTTGTCTGTAAATTGAGTACTAGGAATCACTTTCATTAGTCACATGATTGGTTATGCAGACTTTATGACATTATTTCTCTGCTTTGACTGGATAACTTGAAATTTCCTGAGAAGATAAGACATAACATATATAGCCACACACTACCTCTGAAATAATTTGCTAAACTAGGAATGTGGGTGAATGAGACATAAAGTTGAGCCTGGATATCAAGAAACAATACTGCCTGATATATTATTACAGTAGCATGGACAGCCTTTTTGGGCCTGATTCACATAACCTTTATTAGGTGTCTATGTAAGAGTAAGAAGAGTTGTACCCTCCCAGAGTCACTGCTTGAGGGAGTTAAGTTTCTTGAGAAAAACTTCTCTACTGTTGGAGGGTTCACTTATATACAAGAGCTATGCTGGAGAAAGCTAGGGTAAGAATATCAAGGAAAAGAGCTGTCCTAAAATAAGTCCCTATGGAGATGTTCTCAGTTGAAACTGAGGCTGCGGAGTTATTCCAGAATGGTTATTCCACTTGATATTTATCACCTACCTTTTTCACATCCAGCAATCCCAGTGCATTGCTCTTTCAGAATTGCACATGAAAAGCCTTGCGAAAGATGGACAGACTACACACTATTTCTATACTGCTGTCACTGTAGCATTTGAGCATCCTGTACATACATTTAGGTATCAGTAATGAAGACACTATATTTTTTTGCCATATTTTTGCATGCTTCCAGCAGGTATGAATGAATGTCATGACTGCTTAGGAACAAGTGTGAAAACTGAAGTTTTCATGCTACTTCCAGTCTGTGAGTGTTACCTTTTTCTCTCCCTTGGAGATGGTGGTGATTCCATCAAAATGATCTCCGAGTGAATTAGGAACATGCACGTAGCGAAGTCCCTGTGGCTCAATAATGCGGACATCCACCTAAAAGCAGGAAGGGAGGACACTAGTATGAAGCAGTGCCAGTGTTGTACCAGGATCTCATGAACCCTCCATAGGCAAACTCCAGCAGGGGGTTGGGGTGCTCTTGAGAATGCTCCTGCAGGGCTAGTCTCATTTGTGGTGGGGATGCATGCAATGCTGAAAATAGGCCACAATGGAAAGACAAAAAAAGTGTGTCCAAAGAATAGAAAAAGCTTGGTGGAAATGTTCATTCTTCTTCTCTCTCCCACCCTGTGGGGCAAGCGGTGAGATAGAAGCCAAGGGTGATAGCACTGTTTATGCTGAAAGCATGAAAGAAGCATGAAGTGACTCTGCCTAAGTGTTGCTTTGGGTTAGGAGACCAGGAGGATGATGAGTTCTCACACTCAGTGATGAGTTCTCTTCCTCTCTAGTCATGCTATTGACAGGACAGAGAATATTTTCCCTTTTGTTTGGATGGCCAAGGTGAATAAAGGTTTTATCCTGTCAGCCTGAGATAAAGGCTTTTTCTGGTTGTATTTCTGAACAGTTAGTGAGACTACTAGGAGACAGGACATGGTGTCCTTTTCAGTAAGATTAACTTAGGCCTTCGGACAGCTTGAAGCAGATCACAGCCTGCACCAAGGAAATGTGAGCAGCAAACTTTCATATACAGCTTGTGCTGAAGCCATGGAAAGCTGAAGAAGACATTTATGATACAGGAACATGAGAATGGCCAGATGGAAATGTCCAGCTAGCCATGTATCCTGTGTCTGTTGATGGACGACAGAGGACATGTTTGGATGTGTGTAAGAAAGAGGGTAAGAATAAGACAAATCATCTTTTGGCAGCCAGTTGTGGAGGGACTGTCATTCAGAGAACATCTGCTCTCATAGGACGCTATCTCATGAAGTTGGGATTATTGTGAAAAGCACTGTTCCCAATAAATAGCAAATATTGTTTGTTTTCCTTCAGTCAAAGCAAGTTTACACAACGGTATATATAGGCCAAAGATTGTTTGCCCAAGTGGTTCTGACACGAGTCAGTCACGATTCAGGAGATGCCCAATTGTGTTAGTACGAGAGGAGGCAGGACACATTTGCTCCTCACTCATGTAGCTACATAGCTCCTGGTTTGAAGTATCTCATGCTGGTCTGCACAGTGACCTTGAGGCTATTTGTACCGAGCTCATATAAAAGGAAGGAGCTGTAGATGAAGTGTCTTGCTGTGGAGCTCACAGGAACCTTGGCTGCTTTCCCAATGAGGGTTCACCTGTGGAGTGCTGCCTACACACACCAGCTCTACTTTACCTCCATGTGCTTTGCCAAGCGTCCTGGCTTCACAGAGATGATGTGCTCGTAGGAGCTCAGTTTCCTTCGAATCATTTCGTGGTAGTGAAGTTCAAACTGGATCCTCGTCCCTGGGGGCACATTCACTTCGGTTTTGAAGTTTTCCATATCCAAGGCATTGCTCCTGAAAAGTCAGCTGTGGGGTTATTTTGAGAAAATACAAGGAGAAAGAGAGCTTCTCTGCATTTTGGTTTAGAGTTATGCATTTGCTGGGTCTGATTCTAGCCGTGGCCTATACCAAGGAACTGCAGTTGTCTGTTAGCACAGTATGTTTTATCAAGCCGAAAGCAGAAAAACAAGTTAAGTCCTTGACAATTAAATATCAGAGTTGCTGTAAGTAAGCAACCCATTTTCCTTCCCAGGGTTACCCACCTCATCTATCTCCTCCTGGGGTGGGTCACCTCAGTGCTCCTATGAATAAATTCAGTACAATATCCATATGCCAAAGTCTTTATACCTTACTATTCCAGCAGCTTTGCCTTTGGCTTTTGCTTGAGAGTACATTTTTCTGGCTTCAGATTTTTCCCGAATTTTGCTGGTAAATGTTATACCATTGACATCCCTAGGAGAGAGAAGCACAGTCAGTTTGCAAAAGAAACAACTTTACAATCGACGACTGTTTCTTCACTTTAGAAAAACATCAGTGAAATCTAATCTGGTGGGAAACGAAATAATAAGGCTCTTGTTTAACACCGAAGTAATGAAGTCTGGTTTCCAATAGCTCTGTATCTTTTTCCCTACCTGCTTTTTTATTTCAAGTAGGAACATGGATCAGGACATGTCTCCTGACCAGCAAGCTGGTTGCTGCCTCTCTGAATGGCTACTGAACGAGGCTAGTTTCTTTCTGTTCAGCGAGGGCTCTAATTTGGGTCTCTCTCTCTCTCCTTTGATCTGGTGCCAACTTGCACAAGACAGGTAGGAGCTTAGTCTATTTGAGACTTCTGTCCTTTTGTCATATTTTGTTGATGTTGGCCAATGGCCCAATAATTATTGGAGAGGAAGCGATGGACAGATAGACAGTATGATGACATAAGCCTTTTTTCTTTGAGAAAGCCTGTTAAAATTACACTGAAGCTGGAAAATAATAAGAGATGTTTTGCTTTTATGACTACTTCCCTCCCACCATATTCTGCCACCACACAGAACCCTGACAGAGCACAAGGCTGATACCTGCCCACTACTTACATAGTAAAGTTGTCAATAAAAGCTCCTTTGGGGACTTGTACATCAAACACTATGTGCTGGGACCTTTTTGCATTATTCACCATTTTGGCTTGGATCATTGTGTTGGCCAGCCGTGACGTTATAGTGGATTGAACTTTGTAGCTGTAAAGACCTATCTTGTCATCGTCCTCCACCTGTAATTGACAGAATTACTCTATAAATTTGGGACATAGCTAGAAAATGTTCCCTAGAGCAATATCAACCCCTTCTATAATCTCAGTGCCTTTTTTTCAACTGCTGTCCATTACAATATGGCAGCCAGATTGGATATGAACTCAAATTCAAGACACCTCCATATTTTACCTGGCAAATGTGGCAGGATACTCATGTGAATATAGTTCATTACAACATTTCAGCTGAAAGGGGGACTTTATTAAGCTGGAATGCTTTCCTTGCTTTTGACCATGCAACCAGTCCTTGGAATGACTCTGTTGGTGCAATCCAGCATAGAAGGGAACACGGTAGTCCTCGACATTATATACTGAGGAGGAGAGAGCTTACATTTTCAATAAAGGTCCTGAATAAAGGAGACCTGAAGCACTGGTTACTGACCTAGTCTTGTAAATGGTTAAACCATGGCAGTGGGAGAACAGTATTAAACTGATATATTAAGATTTTGCCTTTGTCTAATCACTTTTGTTGCTTATTTCTTCATCTTTACCATACCCTTCTCCCTCCAAGAGCAGTTGTATGAACAGTATTGTGCAAACAGTGCTCTGTTTAAAGAAAATAGGTTAATATCCAACCAGCAGTAAAAACAAGGAACTGAACAAATAAAAGGATTGATTTCCAAAAAATGGTTAACTAGAAAATCACTTTGTTCAGTATTATTTTCCACAGAGGAAGAAAAAAACTCACCAGATCTCCAACATACCCCCAGTCAGAGGTGCTTCGCTGGAAAAGAAAAATATGGAGAACGTATTTCAGCAAAGCTAAGAACACAGATTGTGGCTGTTTCAAGACAGGGTTCAGACAGTGGTAACCTCTAAAAGCTGCTTTCCCAGATGACCAGAGTAGGTTTGAGACCTAAGACTTAGTGTGCCTATTCCTTTTGTCTTATTTTTATGTATTTATACACAGGATGTTGGAGCATGTGATCTCCCAGTTGTGACTTAGAGGCTATCAAAAACAGAAGGACAGCTTGCTTCCTCTGTCTTTATTTTTTTATAGAAAACATTCTCTTCTAGAACAAAAACATTCTTCCTGAAAGCAAAATGTGCTGGCAAAAAGTCATACGCAGAAACCCTAGCTTTTAACACAAAAAATCTCTTTTTTTTTCCTAGGAAAAGTGGAAAAACCTCAAAATCCAGACCTTTTTATCTCATTTTGTTTTCATTTACATTATAGAATATATATTTATATTATTGTATTATACGCAATATGTATGTATACAAAAACCTATTGCATAATTGATATTACATTTATATACTTATATATATGTAAAGTTAGTTATGTATGCACTGCTTAGAAGAGCTCAAACTGTTCATTAATGGTGGTTTTTCCCCGCCGTATTAGTATTTCCATTTGGAAATTTCTATGAGGAGGTGGTGACATCTTGTGGCCATTTGAATCATGCTGTTTAATTCCCTAAAACTTAAACCCACATGAGTAACCCGGGATGGGATTTGGCTCACCTAGTTCTAGGGGGTCATGCAACTGTTTAATGCAGCTATCTGGTGTTATCATCACAACTAGGCAAACTTAGCTCTTTACAGTCAATGGAGTGATCCCTTTCATCTGAAAATAGATACTCCCCTTTCGTTGAACGAGTCCTGCCCTAAACCATGCTGATCGTATTGATTAGAGGTGTGGGTATCCAGTGCCGCTGGCGGTGCCCAAGGGTACCACCCTGGTCTTCAGCTGAGGCTCCAGGAGGTCACGAGGCTCCAGTAGGTCTTGAGTGATATCTGACAGCCAGTAAGATGTCTTGGACACTGCTAGATCTGTACATGTAGGCAACGGAACTGAGCCATTCAACTCCACTGATGATGAGCAGGAACTTAGGGAGACTAGTTCAGATACTGATGGCTAAATTATAAAAATGTACCAACGCATACCAATCTCATCTCAGGTTTCAGTAGCACTTGAATCCAAGAGGACCCAAAACCACAGAAGATGCTCACGAAAACTGCTAGTCACATAGTGCATATAAGTCTTGCTATACAGTTACTAAGTTCATTTGAAGCGAATTAATATACTGTTACTAGGAAAACCTTGGGCTGCATAAGAGATGATACATGTCATAGCAAGATCGGTTTAATGAGATGATTTTTAAGGATCCTTCAAAGCCAGATAGAGAAACTGCAGGATTTCCACCTGCCTGAGAACAAATGTGGGGTATTATTTACTAGCTGTACAGGCTCCACCTGAAACATTCAGACTGGGATTTCAGGATCTGGAAGTTTATGGCTTTCTAGAGACCCTCTGCAAAGCCTGATGGACTGATCCTTGCTCAGTCCATCCTGACACCCCACAAACATCACTGTACAGTGAACCGGACCCTTCACATCTGATAAAGAACCAGAGCATGAAGAATGACTGTTGTCCCCACACATACCCTTGGCATAGGAAACATTACCAGAATGAATAAAAATTAAGACTAAACCAAGCTTAACTGAAGCAAATTTAATTTTTAAAAGATGAAGACCAATACCTTAGCACAGAGGGGATTTGTTTTATTGTGATACTTTTCTGGTTCTCAGAAAAGCTTAGGGTTCTAAGCTTTCAAGATGTCCCGGTTTCCCTCTTGTTTGTTTTTGTGAGGGTGGAGAGGAGGGAGGCGCTGATGGAGACATGAGCTTGTCACTTGCACATGTAGTGACTTCCACGGCTGTTGTTAGAGATCAGACATGGGGTGGGCCAACCATTCCCCTAGGATCTCAAAGGTTGCAGAGGGCAGCCACTCCAAAAGGCCAGGAGGACAGAGCTGTAGGTGAATATACTTCAGGTTTGAGCACTGATGTGGTCACTGAGAACATGGGCTTTGTAGGGACTTCTGTGGCACATGATACTTGTGCTATTTCTGTCGTGAGGATTCATGGCTGATCCTTGCCTTTAAACCACATCCAGGTCTGCTGATGATGGCACTGCGTAGAAACAGTATCTTGTGCCATATCTAATGTGTAGTAAATTGTTAATTAAGGTGGAGACAACAAGTGCCTCAGGAACTGTTTTAAGGATCTGGTCTTGACAGATGCTGGGCACTATCTTCAGGTACTGAGACCGTCTTCTCCTGACATCTGTGCAGGCTGATATTTAGCCCTCCATAATGATCTTTGTTCAAATCACTGTGCATGAATGTTGCAGCTACTATGCAGTCTACCATCAAGAAAACATTGGGTACTTCAAGCTAACTTTTATCCAGGGCTGCTGGCCCTGACTCCTCCTGTCCTGTCCGTGGAGGAAGAAGCCATGGTGTCTGAGGGAGGAACGTATTACAAGAGGTAATGCATTACAAGAGATTGCAGTTTTTACGTCATCTATCGGATGCCTAACTTACTATTGCTTTCAAGTTGCAGTCCACAGGCTACTTCTGAGGTGTGACTTAGTAAAACAAGGAAAGCAGATTCAGAGATGTTATACTGCATTCAAAGGAAATTACTTTTCTACTGGGGCATGAAAAAGGTTGAAAAGCAGATGCCCAGCATGAGAAACTACAGAGAAGATGCGATCTACCTGGCGTGTCCTCCCAGTTCTTTGAGGTGCTGTTTCCTCATAGATTCACTTGTTTTCATGTGCATCATTTCCTAAGCAGGTTTTAACACACTGCAGTTTCATTGCAGACTCTTCAGGCTCCTTTTGGGGATCATGACCCTTACTGTGAGGTGCAAGAAGAGCAATTTCAAACCTAAGGCTTGGCAGAGTTTGTCTTCACAGTGCTGCAGATGGATCCTGGTCTCTCTGGTTGCATTTATACCCTGGGAGCTGGGGGGGCTCTCCAACCAGCTGATTCCACCCTCTCTCTCCTTCCATATTTCCTTCCTGGGCTGGTTCTCATGGAAAGGAAACCGGGCTGGCAGAGCAGTAAGGAAATAGGTGTGATCTCACCTGGCTCTGGACAGCCAGAGATCAGGACCAAGACTGGAGGACATGCTTGTTTTCATGTGCGTCATTTCCTAAGCAGGTTTTAACACACTGCAATTTCATTGCAGACTCTTCAGGCTCCTTTTGGGGATCATGACCCTTACTGTGAGGTGCAAGAAGAGCAATTTCAAACCTAAGGCTTGGCAGAGTTTGTCTTCACAGTGGATCCTGGTCTCTCTGGTTGCATTTATACCCTGGGAGCTGGGGGGGCTCTCCAACCAGCTGATTCCACCCTCTCTCTCCTTCCATATTTCCTTCCTGGGCTGGTTCTCATGGAAAGGAAACCGGGCTGGCAGAGCAGTAAGGAAATAGGTGTGATCTCACCTGGCTCTGGACAGCCAGAGATCAGGACCAAGACTGGAGGACATGCTACAGAACATCCTGCCTCACAGTCTAGACGCAAGCTCTGTTATCTATCTCCAAAACAGAGATAACGGCAGTGCACCATCACATAGAGGTTCACAAGGTTACCTGCATTCCAGCCCATGGGGCGCTCTGTTTCTGTGGTCACGAGGACCATTCACATACCTGAGACACTGTATTTTTGGAATTACTCAGGAGCAAATATTTTTCACCAGAATACCTGATCTGGACCTAGAAAACAATTCTTTCTATTTAGAGCTAATCAGTAGAGTCTGCAGAGGAGTTCTGTCATCTTGTTGCCAATGGGCTAGTGACCTCACTGTAGAAAAACACAGTGCTAAAACAGTAATTTGGAAGACAGCTTCCCTCTAGTCATTAACAGTAAATAACTGTGTGCCTGCTGTTGGCCAAGAGCTACTGTCTCAAGATGTTTCACGTAGTTCAGTTTAATCTCATTTATTAATATTTTATTGTGACTCAACTAACATAAGGTTAGCTCATCCTATAGCTGAGATCTTAGTTCTACTGGTTTGCAAAAACTCATTTGATAGGTAAAGGACAGGAAATAATATATAGGAATATAAGGAATAACTGGTATAATGAAACCACCAGTAGAACTGCAAATTACTGCATGCATATGTTTATACCACTATGTGTCCGGAAAGTTGGGGAACAGAGGCAACATAATACATATGGCACTAATACAGACATGTTGGAAAGAAATGATGACCTGAAGGAGTGCAGCTAGAGAGGACTTCTGCGTAGATCATGATGAAATTATTTAAATACTCGTCTGGCAAATGTGAGCTGGCTTGATTCATATTTGTGCTAAAATCTTCCATTTTTCTGGCAGGGTAATGGGGGCTTTAGGTGTCAATAAGTTACATTTACACTCTGTGTGAGGCCCTTTTCGAAAAGCCTTACGATAAAGAATAATCATGTTTGCCTGTGCTTAACTTCAAAGATGCTGGGAAATCCAACTTTACTCAAGACAATCTTTTGTTTTCACTATACTGAACAAACTCAAGAAGGGCAGCACCAGAGCTTTGGTGGAGGACAAGGTCCACTCCGATCACCATTTCTGTCATTCAGTGTAATAAAAGTTAATACTTTCAAACAACTGATTTCATTATTATTATCGTTAATTACTACCGTGTAAAACACAAGAAAACTCCTGCAATGCTGTTTTAAATGTTTCTGTTTCAAAAGCCGACAGAATACAATAATCTACAACCCATCAGCATGCTGGAAGCAAATTTTCTTCCCTGGTCTCAGACTCCACCAGCTCATTACCATGTGACACCGTGCTGCACTCTTTTGGCCTGAGTTAAATATGAATGGATGGACTACCTGCAGTACTGAAAGGTTTCAGCCTACATTGCCAGTGTCTGAAGTCCTTTTCCATTTTCTCATGGAAAAGCCCCAGCAGTATCAATGGGATTTTTCCGACACATGAAGTTAGACAAGTATCTCCATTGTTTATCATCTGTATTATGTTCCTTAGGAGCTCAGATATGGAACAAAACCTTGTTATGCTAGGTACTGCATAAACGATAGCAGCAGTTCTTATCCCAACAAGAGATATGGAGGTCTCAGTGCATATAAGCACCTGCTGGTCCCACCTGATTGCACACTCACAATCCTTGACATGGAATAGGCTGCCTGGAGAGAGCTCCCAGGCATTCTCGCTTCCCTTTTTTTAAAGCATTTCTGGGTACTGTACCTGGTACCTGCCATTTCTCGTCTTGGAGCTTGAAGGAAATCCCTCAATTTCTAGGTCAATCAGGTTTTCCACTTCCTAGAGGAGAAAGAGGAAGAAAGAAAGAGCTGTTGCTGCTGCCTTACTGTTTATCACTTGATTTATTATTGATTAACACTCTAATAGAGTTCCAAAGGGAATTTATCTCCCCTTGGTGCAATTGGGGAGCAAAAGTGCAAACGTTTGAGACCAAAATGCTGCACCTTCACACATTCAGTTTCCATCTGTGGCCAGCTAGTTCTATACACTCTTATAAGACCATGACCTTTACTATCATTTTACAACCTTTCCTTCTGAAACAAGGACTAATATTTAACACGCTGAAATGCCCATAAAGAACAAGAGGCAGATTATCATCAGGATGGGTCCAGCCATGGTAACTATAGCATTTCAGATACTGATCTCACTTAAACCAGCAAGTTCAAAGAATTTCTGCTCAAACCAGTAGAAATTGTCTCTGGTTTTATACTAATATACGTGAGAACTGAATTTGTCCCATTGACAGCAAAGGAACATCAGGTCTTTTCCAAGTGCAAAGCTGCACTGATTCAATTAGAAGCGTGGTTCTTACACCACAGTAATAGTCTTAATTAAAGTCCGTTAGAAGTTTAATTTATGGCAATAAAGGAGTTTAAGTTCATGAGTTGCTCTCCAACTTATATGATAGCATATACACAAAGGTTTGCACAAAATTAACTGAAATTGTTCAAGCACATTGATGTTAAACTGATACGGCATCTATAGTTAGAAGGGACCACAGGTCCGGAATATTTTTCCTGGGAATTACAAACTCAGGATAAAAATCTCACTGTGTCACGAAAAGTGCTGTAAGAAGATAAAAAAAGAGGATATACCCGCTCACTAATTCTTTTTGTTAATCTTGCAAAGGAAAAGAAAGCTTCACACCATCCCTGCTGAGTTCACAGAAATATTGCAATAAGGGAATGTGGAAATGGGTGTAGACACCCAAACCTAAGTTCACCTGAGTCTGGGGGTTTAAATTTGGACTCAGCTTCAGAGTCAAAGCTATAACTATACTTCTTTTTATCATTGTATTATCCTAAGCAATTACAAGCTCTTTTATAAATTACCTCACCCCTCTGCTGAGGAATGTACGGTCAATAGGCTCTTAACTCCTTATTTGAATTCCTGCTAGCAAAAACCTGAGTCCATATGAAGCTTTGTTGAAGTTCATAGTGGTTCATACAGGAGATCCCATCCACAAAGATATCTAGATGCTCTGTTTCTGCTTATTCCAGGGAAACAGGATATAAAATATGCTGAAGGTCTGAACATAGAAGCCCACTTGAATGTTTAAAGGTTAAAACCACCAGAAAAGGCAAAGTTGAGGTAAAAATATGAATCCTGCTTGAAAAGAAACTTGGAGTTATGCTCATACTATCTCATCTTAAATAATATTAAAAAAGCAACACTACAAATGACAGGTGAAAACCAATTATCAGAACAATCCCATTTACAGCTAAAAGTAGAAGAGAAATCATGAGATACAAGCAGAGCTGTGAAGCAATGACCCAATTCTGCTCCCACAGAAGCCAGCTGCAGCTTCGATGTTGACTTCAGCAAGGAAGGGAGACCTAGGCCCTGCCTGGAAATACTCACATCTGGGATTTCATCGATAACAAGATCAAAGCTTCCTACTCCAGAAATGAGGAACAAAACCAGGAAGCAGAGCAGATGCTTCATTTTCTTCCTGCTTGTCTCCTGAGAACAGCCCGCATAGGTACTAGACACAAGATCTTTCCTTCTCTGAGACAAGTTCAAGGAAACGGCTCCGGGTTATGCAGTATTTTGAACAAAGTTTTGAAACGCTGACTTTGTTTAGGCCGTAGGTAAATATTTGCCCTGCAACGTAAGTCTGAGCTGTGGTGCCTGAGCAAGGGTTATCCAAATAGTGTCTTCACTCGCCTCTGCCCTCGATAACAGCTCAGGCTTGGATAGGCTCACTTCTTGCTTTTGTAGCTTCCCATGATGTTTGACTAGTTTCCTGCTAGGCTCAGACCTTGGAGTATCCAGAACTTTGAAAGATCAAAGCAAGAACTCACTCCTAGCTTGTTTATAGTAAATGAAGTGAAGACTGGTTCTCAGAGTGATAGAGGCAGCAACATTTTGCTTCTCCCAGGGTCCTCCCACCCAGCCATCTCACAGGAGTTGGCAGAGACCTTTGGGCTGGATCCTGACCCACACAAATACCCTTCTTCCACTCTAGCTGGGAAAGGATCATAGCTGGTGGTGGGATAGCTCTAGTTTTTCAAAGTTTAGTCATGTGAAAACATCTGATGGTATTTTCAGATGCATGTTGTACGGCTCCTGGGTGCTTTTGAAACTGTTTTGGCCTCCCTGCCTCTTTGGGTACTTCAAGAGATGGGATAAAGTAAGCCAGCAAAGCAAAAGGGGAAAAGAAGGGAGGAAGCAGGTTTCTGGCAAAAGGAGCAGGGTACCCCTTCCACTCTTCCAGGAAGAAAAGAAATTTGCAGACACCTGAGCAACCTCAGTGGAAAATTACTATGTGAACCCAGGGACAAAACAGCAGACAAGATTACATATTATATTATATTAACTATATTATATTAATTATAGTCTGTTATCTTACCCTATGTTATGTTACTTTTTGATGTTTCAGTGAAAGATTTCTGCAGCACCAGTCTGCTGTTACACATCCTTCCTCCATCTTTTCAATAGATTGTTTCTCAGCCTGAGACCTGAAACTTCATTCAGAGGTTCACAAGGAACCCAAGCAGAGTAGTGACCTTTCAGCTCACTGCCATGTAAGAGCTGCCAAAGGTGCTTAGGAGAGAACATAAGAACTGGAGCAAGCACTTAAGGTCTTTTCCAAAGACCTTCCTAGTCTCCAGCTACTTGTAGCTGTGGTACCCCCTGATAAGGAGATGGTTTCCATTTATTTAACAGTCCTCAGTTAATTTATTTTCCAAAAACCTATCATCTCCTCTGAAGAGATTGGATAAAAAATTATCATTCATAGCATCCTGTGAGAAGTTCCACACCTTAAGCATATGCAGAACGAGCCATGGCCTTTTGATCACTTCGAACTTGTCACATGATAGCTCCATATACTGTTTCACAGATGTTACGCTGGAAGAGGCATTGAATAATTAGTCCTGATTTGCCCTCTCCCACAGTCTTTTGGGCAATCCTGGATATTAAACTTGGAGATGACATAGCTCCAGATTTGCTAGAAAGCTTAGGAGCCTGTAGGCTGTACCCAAACTAGTACACAGCCTTCACAGCACATGCATCTTGCTTTTGCATTGATCCATCTACACAGTGGTTCCCCACACCACTTATTTATTACTTTCTCTCTAAGCTCTGGTTCAGTTCTCAGACGGTGCACACGTAGAGCCTGCATCATTGCTTCTCCTGAAAAGACAGTTTCTGAATGCAGAGGTCACTTGATAAGCAGTTCTGCATCCCTCAGACCCAAATGGCATGACCTGGCCAGTCTTCCCCTCCCCTATGTTACTCCAGATCATCTTCTGTGTTGCAGCTTCCCATGGAGGTCGGGGTAAGTGATGTGCATGGAGGAGGGGAGTGTACAGGAGGAGAATGGGGAGGATGGGAACAGGGTTCTTCAATAATCATAGAATCATAGAATCATAGAATCATTTAGGTTGGAAAAGACCTCTAAGATCATCGAGTCCAATGATAAACCTAACACTGCCAAGTTGACCATTAAACCATGTCCCTAAGCACTACATCTACACATCTTTTCAATACCTCCAGGGATGGTGACTCCACCACTTCCCTGGGCAAATCATTAAAGGTTGGAAGAGACCTCCAAGATCATCGAGTCCAACCGTCAACCCAACAACACCATACCCACTAAACCATGTCCCTAAGCGCCTCATCTACCCGTCTTTTAAATACTTCCAGGGATGGTGACTCAACCACTTCCCTGGGCAGCCTGTTCCAATGTTTAACTACTCTTTCAGTAAAGAAATTTTTCCTTACATCCAATCTAAACCTCCCCTGGTGCAACTTGAGGCCATTTCCTCTCGTCCTTTCGCCAGTTACTTGGGAGAAGAGACCGACACCCACCTCGCTACAACCTCCTTTCAGGTAGTTGTAGAGAGCAATGAGGTCTCCCCTCAGCCTCCTTTTCTCCAGGCTAAACAACCCCAGCTCCCTCAGCCGCTCCTCATAAGGCTTGTTCTCCAGACCCCTCACCAGCCTCGTTGCCCTTCTCTGGACACGTTCCAACATCTCAACATCCTTCTTGTAGTGAGGGGCCCAAAACTGAACACAGTATTCGAGGTGCGGCCTCACCAGTGCCGAGTACAGGGGCACGATCACTTCCCTGCTCCTGCTGGCCACACTATTTCTGATACAGGCCAGGATGCCGTTGGCCTTCTTGGCCGCCTGGGCACACTGCCGGCTCATGTTCAGCTGGCTGTCAACCAAAGTAGCATAATGAGGGATGGGATTACCCCACTGTACAGCTTTGTCCCCCTTTTTAGTCCATGGAAATAAATAGACTTCTTCTGACCATATGGTGCCTGACTCTGCACCATAGAATGGGATGAATTCTGCCCTTGCTGGGTCTAATTCATGCCATGTACTATATAGGGAGTCTAGTCAGAGAGCTCAGAGGAGGACACCAGCTCTGGGGGCATCTATGCTTCATCAGATGACTTCTACCTCCTGGAGTAAGCTGCTCTGCATTTATCACCATTGTAGGCTTTTTGAGCAGAGGGGAATTTCAGCATTAAGATCCCAGGCATGCTGCTTCAAACAGGAGGTTGGCTTACAGCTCTGTGGTACATAAAACATCCAGGTTGGCTTTAAACCATGTAGTCAAGGGACTGACAATCTAACCATATGCCTTGGACTCAGTGTTTACTCAGTCTCTTAGGTGGATTTTGCTCAGTGCCGTGTGCCTGTAGTCCTAGCAGTATTTAAGTCAGCTACCTTAAAGTTAGCTTAGGAACACCTCCATGAGTGTTGTCGGGGCTATGGCTATGACAGGGCTTATCCAGGGCTGCAAGAGCAGCAGGCATGGGGCACCCAGTCTTTGTTGTGTTGACAGTATCTACTATAGCTTGAATTTTCCATCTCAGCTGAGTTCTGTTCACACACGTGCCCCTAGCTCAGAGTGACCAGTCCTTTCTCATCAGAAATGTAAAGCTTAAGGTAGCTGTTCTGGAGGTATCTGGGACCCTGGACCGGGAATTTAATCACTGCTGCTCTGAAGAGATGAAAAAGTTCTTTTAGAACAGAATTTAGTTTAAACATTAATTTTGTAACCCCTTATTTCAGTGCTTTCATAATCACCAAATGTGGCTTAATTTTTTTTCGGTAAAAATAACAAGATTGGGAAATCAATGTGACCACTAGATGGCACGAACTGCTCAAATATACTGTCCGAGAGAGTCCAAAAAGCTGAAATTTCTCAAGGAGAACATACAGAAAATGTATGGGAGGAACAAGTGCTGAGGATGCTCAGAGCCCTACCATTTGCTATCAGGTTAGGTGAACTTCCCCAGAATTTCATGAAGAGGACAGGATCTCAGTAAGATGTTTTGTGGTATGTGTCCATTGGGCTGTTTCATGAGTTGTCCTCTCATCGTTGGGATTCCTCTGGAAGGAAGTTTTCATGCAGTGTCCTCCCTGAAGCACTTGGAATTACTGCTGGGCAGAGTCTGTCCCTCAGAATGATTAAACTGTGTTAACTTGGCTTGCGCCCGCAGAGAAATGCTCACAATTTCTGTGTCTTATGAGATAGCCAGTTTCCCCTTCCCATATTGAATTTCTTGTCTGAAAATTTCCAGTGATCCAGGTAAGAACAGGGTGTACCTGCAAGGCAACACACTTACCCAGGGTGCCTACTGCCCTGACATTCATCCCACTACACACCAACCATTCTGAGAAACGATATACAGACATATAGAAAAGGCTTTCTTGGTGCTTCAACTTTCTTCTCTTTGTACTGCCATTCAACGGAGACATACCAGGTACCAGGACTCGGCAACCTGCCTGTCTGTCCTGATGACCTCTTCAAAGTGGGTTTCACAGCAGTCCCCCAGACAGAGTCAGACATCCCCAGCACCAAGGCCCTTTGGCAGAGACTTCGGGTGTATTTCATCAGAAGAATACCAGATTTTGGAGTTCTGAAATGCTCTGCTGGGCCATGGTGCGCACAGCTAATGGCAACAGGGAGATCAGCAGGCACTGGGACACCAGAAAAGACCTTTCAGGAACACAGGAACCTCCCAAATAGTGTGAGAACTGGGGACCATCAGGTCCCATCCAGATGTTTCAGAGGAGATTGATTAGATTAAGACCTGAAAGAAAATATTTAATATAATTCCCTGAACTTCACCGTAATTAATTTTACCTCTGGACATTTATCTATGTCTATGTCTGTGTAACCCTTTGGGACTCTTGCCAATTTCTTGATCAAATTGCTGGCTTTGAATGCCACTAAATTCTACGGTTTGGTAGTGCTTTGGGTAGATTCAGTTTGTGGTTCAGACACTTCTAGTTGGGCATTTAATGTAGGTGCCTCTGCATGAGGTGTGTGTCTGGGGTCCCATTCTTCTACCTAGAAGAACAGAGAACTGGAAATCTTTAATTTATGAATCCATGCAGCCATGGCACCGATGTTATGGCCAAATGCAGCTCTGATCTTGTTCCCTCAGCTTCAGTCTGGAGTCTGGAAAACCCCTGCTCTTGAGCTAGAAGGTGCCAACATTTTCTTTAGCTTCAACACTCCCTAC